AGTTGTAAAATATTAAAACTCTTACAAATAGAAGATAACTGGGACACTTGAGATCAGAGCTCAGGGTCTTTATGTCAATTTGTTGAACAAGAGAGCGCCCTTAGTAATTAAACTCAACTAAAGAACCTCATTTGCCACTCCTGCGTAACAGATTTGGGATCTTCTGCCCTGCTCTCTCTCTCTCTCCCTCTTCCTTCCATTTCTCTCTGTTTGCTTCCACAGCTAAACACAGAGGGAAAAAAGCATAAAGATCATCTCAATAGAAGAATATGGGAACGTTGGGAAAAGCGATATACAGCGTCGGATTCTGGATTCGCGAGACAGGCCAAGCCCTCGATCGTCTTGGCTCCCGCCTCCAAGGCAACTACTACTTCCAAGAGCAACGTAAGCCCTCAAACCCTAGATCCCCTCTTTCTTTTATTTTCTTCCCTTTGAAATTCACCTACATATTTTCTGTTTCTCACACTTCCTGATCGCAAAATCACATTTCCTGTATCAAATCAGTGTCCGGTTGTGGAATTGTTTCGAATGTTCTGGAAATAAATTAGGATTTAGCTTTCACAGCATCCAATTATGAATTATGGTCACTGTAGATTCATGTCGATCGGGAGGTCGAGCTAGGTTTGTTGTTTATACACTGTTTGTGTGAGGTGGCAGTTCTCAAATTGGGTCGCAAAATCAGATATTATCGTGCAAACAGAGATTAGGGAATACGTGAAAGTTGAGGCTTATATTGGTCGAGTCAAGTGTTAGCTTTTGCTGATAAGAATGTGCTAATTGTTGTATAAAATGAAATTTACTGGAAAATATTATGCATTGATAACATATGTATCAAGAAACGTTATTTATTTGTGAATGAGTATTATATCCCGTGTATGGATGTGTTTGTTTCCTCAAATGTGCACGTAAATGAGTATCATATTAGTGATTATGGATTGTCATGCCCTTTTTTAATTGGTTAGGACTTAGGAGCATATTAGTTAATAGTAGGATCAGTTATATGGAAACATGCCCGGCCCGTCCATTAGGCCATCAAAGCCTTTGCTTTAGCCTTTAGGCCCCATTAAAAAAATAAAAATTAAAAATGCCCCATTTAGAATATTTAAAAAAATAAAAGGTTCATTTAGAATATTAAAAAGGCCTCATTTATAGTTAATTTTTTTAAATAATATTTAAAAAAAGAAGAAAAAAGCCCCATTTAGAATTTTCGCTTTAGGCCTCCAAATAGCTTGGGCCGGCCCTGTATGGAAATTAGGAAGTTTTGTAGGTAGTTTGTTTTATTCCTTTTTATCCACATGAACTCAAAGATACCACTTAGGAAAAATTTATACTTTTGTTTTGGATGAATGGCTCGTGGTTAGTCATGAAGTTGTGGGCATGTGAGTTGTGTCGAATCATGAGATTCATGTACTATATTGTGATGGAATGTGGTTATACATTGATAAGTGTGCAACAGTACAAGTTGATGCATGCACTGTCTTTTAGAGGTGAGGCTTTTGGTTACGTGATTTGGTAAGGCTGTAAGGGTGCCTCATTTGAATTGCTTTGTTGATAATGTCTAGTTGCAGGTAGTGAAATAACAAGGGACAGTGTCATACTGTGAATTTATGATAGTCTTAAAAATCATGATTTCTTTATACAAAGGTAGACAGTACTAGACTTGGGAAACTTTTTATGAGTCTGCAGTCATGCCTTTGATTTGTCTATAAAAATTACTGGTCTGATCAGCTTTCATGATATTTTGATTCTTTCATCACTATTATTTACAGTGGGTTAATATCTCAAACCCCCGATATAAGATAGGATGTTAAATACGATTTATTTAATTTCATGATAAAGTAGGCAGAGTGCACATACCAGACCATTGGGTTCCTAATTCTCCTTACTTTGTTGATTGCTGTTCCATTCCATCTATACGAAGATGAAGTGATTACCTGTAAGTTTCAAACCTTTTACCGTTGTTGTTCAATTCAGATTGGTTATCACCAAAACACCTCAAGCTTGCAGAGTATCAGATCTGTTGGCCTCCCTTAGTTGTGTAGTACCTAAACCATTCCATGCTGTGACTCTGTATCATTTCTTTTGATGGAACTTATTTACTTGCATTGAACATTATAGGAGTCCGGTGATTACTTTTGCATTGCAGATTATGATGCCTTTATTTATTCGTCATTCTTAAATGAACTTATTTAGTGATTTTGGTTTTGGTTGAGGGCTACGCCACTTTGGGAGCCTTTTTTTATAAAATTGTTACAGCATAGCCTACTTCCTCATCACGTTTATATTCAAAATTATAGGCCTTATAAATTTAGTCAAATCCTGTGTAGAGAGTAGAGACAATTGTATGTAGGTACAGCATGTTCATGCATAATGTTCTATATTATTGGATCTAATTTTTGGTTTTGCAGTGGAACTTTTTTCACTATTCCTAGTTTTCTCTTTCGTTATATATGATCCTTTCTACCACTTCTTATCTTCATTTTATCTTAGTGTCTAGGCATCGAACGCTGATGAACATATTTGATAAAGCTCCTGTGGTTGATAAGGATGCATTTGTGGCACCAAGTGCATCTATTATTGGGGATGTTCAGGTGGGACGAGGATCCTCGGTTTGGTATGGATGCGTTTTGAGAGGTAAGTTGCACTATGATCAAAACTTTAACCCATGCAATGCTTATTCTCTTAATTATTCTATGTTATCCTCCGTTGATGGATTGTATGACTTGTTCTCTGATGTCCATCTGTTGACTCTTGTAGTTCATGTTGGAAGATTTACTCAACTAAAACCAATAATGAAAAAAGATTTACACAATTAAAGCCTTGTTAGCTCTAGAAGATAAAGCGTGCATAAAATCTGTCCCTCTTTGTCTTAATTATTACAGATGCACTTGTAGGCTTGTAGCCAATGTTATGTTGCTAATAATTCATAAATTAGTATTTGTTACATACTTCAAGGATTAAACAAACATAATATTATTTAGTGTGGCAATAGTACGTGTAACGAGTTGAAAACATTGAACCTTCTATGTGATGTTAGTATGGAAGTACTGGACTCAGGTTCCTCAACTTGAACAAGTATTTGCCTATTAAAAATAGGCCTGAAACGTGCATTACTTTAGGTTTTTTTTAGCTTCTAACCTTTTTTTTTAATCGGTAATCAAGAGGATATATTAATGAGGATGATCAAGATGATCTAGTACAAGAAGGCAAAAGAAGGAGAAAAAGTTTACAAGCACATAAACTCAAAACTCACTAAGAATACTAGGAACCCAAGTACCCAACCCACCCCACAAATATAGAAGGGTCCTACCCTAGTACAAAAAATGAATCCAAACCTAGCCATCAACTATTAAGGCAAAATCATGGGAAACATAGACGCAATGCAAGATATTTTATGATCAGGCAAAATTCGGAGAAACTTTGGGAAAATGCCAGGAAAGATAAAAAGAAATAAAATAATAAGATCACTAATAATGAAATAATTTAAAGGAATGTACTTCATATATTGGATATTTATTCGCATATTTTCCTTCAAAAATCGTGAATAATTCGCATTTAATTCACGACTTTTAAATCGCGAATACTCTGGGAATTAATCGTTTGACTAAAAAGTTGCGAATTAAACGAAGAACTTTGTTGACAATAATGGGATCATAGTGATCTCCTTTCCACTATTAGGCTATTTTTCTATTCCAAAATTGCAAGTAAAATAAATTGCCAAAAGATATTCTATGATCGTGCAATAGATTGATCTATTAGTAAGCCAAAAGGGAATCAAAACAGAAAATAACACGAGTAATAATTGATGAAACTAGGACTAATCTACTAGCAAGCAAATGGAAATTAAAAAACAAAATAACATGAGAAATACTGATATTTAATCAAACCAATGCAAATATAGTTGTATGCAAAAGAGAAACAAATAACATGAATGATAATATTAGTGAAACTCAAGCAAGCTCTGTGATTAAGCAAAGAAAATTAAACATACTCAACAAGAAACAAGTAGAGAACTAAAAAAAACAAATTTAAGAAGAAAAATAACAACTAATTTAAACTGGATCTATACCTATAGATGGGAAAAAAATTATAGAAAAAAAGGTGTGAGGTAGCTTGTGTTACCTCCATATTGCCTTTCAATGCTTATACTTGTGTGCTTCCTTCTTCTTCTACCAGGATTTCCTTTTTTCTTGGTTTCTAAAACTTTCCAGAATTTATCTCTTTTTTTTTTCCTATTTATTTTATCTCCTTTTAATATTTTTCAAGTCTCTTTTTGGCATGTTATGGTGTCCCTTCTTTCTTAGAAAGAGTAGGGTATATAGTGTTTTAAGTGAGATAATAGTTGCTAAGTTCGTCAAAGTGCAACAAAGTAAGTTAATTTTTTCGATTTTTGGAAATTTTCTTGTAGGACTTACATTTTATTACAAAACCCTTGCAGATTATTAGAGCTCCCCCAGGGGGATGCACTTATTTTCTTCTTTCTTGTGGACCTTTCATTTTATTACAAACCCTTGCAACTTATTATAGAGTCCCCCCCTCCACCAGCATGCACTTCTTATATTGTTATTACTACAAAAACATCCTTGCACATGTACTTTTATCAATCTATAGATAAATGTCATTTTCGTAAACTATCATGTGTTTTATAAATAAGATATGTAACGAAGAAAATGAAGTAATTGACATATAAGAACTCTAAATTCTTTATTCTAATTTTAAGGAGGTTAATAAATTAAAATCTAAATTTCCTAATAAAAGGAACAAGTCAAATAAGTAAACAACTAGTGAAGAAAGCTAACAATCAATTTGATAAAAGTCCAACTTATTATAGGTTCGACTCTTGAAATGTTTATTGAAAATCACAGTGATACTAATTTTATCCTTGATACCTCTCTTGCTTCAAGGGATCAAAGATAAGATGATTAATGACACATATTTGTATGCATGTCCAAACACAAGAATATACATGGTTTTGTATATAAACACTTTTTTTAAAAGGAGGGGTGCAACACGAGGACTTCCCAGGAGGTCACCCATCCTAGTACTACTCTCGCTCAAGCATGCTTAACTGCGGAGTTCGGATGGGATCTAGTGCATTAGTTTTGTATATAAACACTTAATAGTTTTGGATAATAGGTGAGTGCGTGTCCAAATCTGACTCCAAAATTTGAGCCCAAAGGTTTGTACACAGTGTTGTCATAAGAGAAAATAGCCAAGTCCTTGGCGAGCCTGTGTTAGAATCATTGTGCACACATACGGACACACGACTCGCCTACAGAATTGAGGAGTCCGGGCAACAATATGATTGGGAACAAAATATTTTAGCGTATTAGCATTGTATCGTGCATATTGTGCTCATATGGTACAATACACATTGACATGCTAGGACAAACATTTTTTTTAGGAGTAAAATATTATATTCATTAATACTAATCATATCATGTAATAAAATATGTGGTTGGCCTATGGATGATATACCTTATCATAGACTAATCGTAATTTTAGAAAAAAAATATTTTTTGTAATTTTAAATTAAAAAAAATTAATTTTTTGTTAATACAAACCATGTAGATGTAATAATATATAAGTGATTAGTGTATGGATCTATCATATCAATAGCCTAATCTTAAGTTTTTGAAACAAAAAAGAAGTTTTTTATAATTTTAAACTCAAAAACAATGCATTTTTTTCTTATATAGTGGGGATTTAAATTAAAAAAATTTAGTGCCCTAAAACTCAATGCATAGTTCGAAAACTCAATGAGTCACCTGAGTAACTCGGTCAAGTTACTCACTCTTGAATTTCGAGTCGAGTCGCCTTAAAACTCGAATGATACATTATTTGCCGAGTTACTTGGGTGACTCGGTCAAGTCGAGCAATTTTTTCGACTTGCCAGACCAAGTCGAGTCACAGAAGGGTATTTTTATCATTTATCAAACCTCTAAACTCAAACATCACACTATTTTTGCATTATATTTTTTTGGGTCTACAAAGACAACTTACTATGGGTTTTGTTAAACCTAGTTTTTAGGTTTGAGGTTGTAAAACTAGCATGCTTTGACTTCTTTTAACCCAGGTTTTTTAAACTATTACATATATATTCCGAGTTGGACTAAGTCTAGTTTTCTGAGTTACTTGACCCGGCTAACTTTCGAGTCGAGTCGAGTTTTTGGGTTTTTGAATCATGACTCAATGTATTAGTTATGTTGCCCATGTATTGGACCCTAGAGGGGGGGGGGGGGGTGAATAGGGTCTATGCCAAATTTAAAGTTCTACTTTGAATTCTTTGTGCAGAATTCAATTTATCAAAGAATTAACAACTAACAAGATTAAATAATGCAAATCAGAAAATTAATGCAAGAATTAGAGAAGACAAACATAACGATCTTGTTCACGAGGTTCGGCAATCCCGCCTACGTTCCCGCCTCAAGCTACCTGCAAGAGGATTCACCACTATTTGATTATTGTACAAACTTCTTCCGGGTGAATCTTAAGCCTTTTACAATCTCTCTTCAGGGTCGAGATCAAACCTTGCAAGGAAACAACCCTCTCTATACTTGGTCCACTTTTCAGGTAGTGACCAAACATTCTAAAGCTCCCCGCTTCAAGGACAAGAATCCACCGATTCTTGATTTTCACATACACTTCAAGGAGTGATGGTTACAATATGATTTTGCTTCTAATACAAGCTGATAGATCACTTTCAAGCTCTCTAATAGTCTCTCAAAGAATGAGATTGAATAGCTCAAGAATGACTCTTTTGGTATTTCTAGGTTCAACTCTATGGATTTTGAAATCAAAGCTTTGGAGTGATTAATCGAATGATTGGAAGTATTTGAGTTTTTGTTTTAGTTTATAAACCATTCTATTTTATAACCCAAGAAGTTTCATGGCCCTTGGAGTAGTATTGAATGCAAAAAGAGTCGTTTAAAACTAGCCAATATAGAGAAAAAATCTTGTCCCGCGCCATCTAGTCGATTGGATGCTTCATTTAGTCGACTAGATGCTTCAATTAGTCGACTGGAAAGGACAACAATGTCTTTTAAAAGACAATAGTGTTTTTTAGAAGACAGTAAAATTTTTGGCCTATCTAGTCGACTGGATGACTCCATATAGTCGACTGGATAGAGCAATTTTTGCTCAAAATCTTGAAATCCATTTTTCTTAATCTTAAGGATGAGAATATTTTCCTGGGTCAATTCATTTATCTTTTTCATGATTTTCATCATTCCTTATGATGTCTTAGGGCTTTATAATGATATTCAATTGGGTCTTAAGGTACCTATGATCAATATAAGTATTGAGCATTCAATCGACCAAACTTTGAGGACTTTTTAGAAAAGTCTTAAACTACTCTCAAGCTTCATGATTTTCCTTCTTCTTTCTCCATCTTTATGACTTGAGCTTGAATATGATCTTCAAATATCTTCATTATGATCCAAACTTAATCCAATGACTTGCTTTTGACTTGATGATGCATCTTCTTTATAGATGTAGTCATTTTCACTGAATGACTTTGCTAATGCTCTTTGTACACTGTTTTTCATATAAACTCAATTGAAACATTTGTAACACAAATCTCATTCTATTATTGTGTTATCATCAAAATCACCAAGGAGACCTATTGTGGACACCTATAGGCTAACAAGTTATGCTTGTAGTTATTTATAATTGTGTGTGTAGTATTTTTTTATTTATAAATAATATATTCTTATGTATGGTTGTAATGATAATTTATCATAATTATAGGACTTTATCTATCTTGTTTTTTGCGTTGAAACAAGTTTTGTTTAGTGTGTCCATAGTCCATATGTTTCCTAGTATATTTTAATTTTTCATCCGAATTCGTGTATATCCACTATAAGTTTATCAAGTTTAACCTACCATATACCCACACTGATACCTATACTTTGAACCATGCGAGGCGGTCTTAGGCCAATCAATATCGGCACCATATGTATGGCAGCAATTCATTGTGATACAATAACAATGGGGCTATCATAATTCATATGAATATTTTGACACAACTCTGTCAAAGTATTACTTTAGTCTGTCTCTTGTTTTGGTTTGCTTGTTCTCCAAATATTTTATGCTCTTTTCCAAAACAGCAAGTAGTCGTAAATTTGCACACTTATTTTAATAAAATTTCAGATGAAAATGAATTATATATTTTATTTTATTTTTCGTCAGTATTTGTTTTGTTGAAATTCTTGATTGAAATTATATTTTCATGCATAGGCGATGTGAACAGCATCAGTGTTGGGTCTGGAACTAATATACAAGACAACTCCCTCGTGCACGTGGCAAAATCTAATCTAAGTGGGAAGGTCTTACCAACTATTATCGGAGACAATGTTACTGTAGGTGAGTGGTGTGATATTAACTTCTAATTCACATGTTTGCTTGTTAACTGACATGATGTTGGTTTTATCAGAATGCAATTGCACTTATGATTTATAATCTGAAGCAGGGCATAGTGCTGTTTTACATGGCTGCACTGTCGAGGACGAGGCCTTCGTTGGTATGGGTGCGACCCTGCTTGATGGAGTGGTTGTTGAAAAACATGCTATGGTTGCTGCTGGAGCCCTTGTGCGACAGAATACAAAGGTTCCCTGTGGGGAGGTTTGTCCGCAAACACTTTTTTTCTGAATGATTTTTTGGGTACCTACTCCAAAATCACATTATGATTATTTTTAAATTTCAACAAAGTTAATAGCGAATTCTAGAATCTACACTTCCCATGCTGTTTTCCCTCCCTACAAATTATAACAAGTTGTCAATTTTCATGTTTTGGGTTACCTAGAAATGAATTTGTTCTTGTTATGCATCACAGGAATGCCTGCAGGGGCCTCCAAATTTTTTGAAATTTTATTATATTGTACTTATAATTTTTTTAAAATTACATAATATATAAATTTTATATATAGTGTACCCCCAAATAATATTGTACATTTTTTTATTTGTATAATATAAAGGGCTTGATTCTTTATGTGTCCCTTTTGACCCTAGTTAAGATTTATTATCTTAGTAGTTAATTTTTTTTAATAAAAACTAAGGGTAGATGTATAAATCCTAGGGGTGAGTGGATCTTAACCACGATTAATGGGTGTTAAAAGAGACATGTGTCAAGCATGGGAGGCACGCGTTCCACTGAACACGGAATGCGCGTGTGAAAAAACAATCTCCATAATATAAATATAGTAATTTAGAGTAGTGATATAAGCCCACCCCACATTTGACTACATAAATGCCTTCCCATTTCATCCCCTTTAACCGTGCTTAAGCTTAACCTACTTGAAGTTATTCTTATTTTTATTTTAAAAACCAAGGTAAAATGGATGTTTAAGGGTAAGTGAATCTTAACCACAATTGGGGGGATTAATGAATTGGACCCCTTAATGTCACTTTTTCTGGCTTAACCTACTTAATGTCACTTTTTCTTGTTATTGGACCCCTTTTTGGAATGCAACATTAATGAATTTTATGACCACGATGGACTCATTACTCAAAAAAATATATATATATTTCTTGAGGGCTACTCCCTCGAATCCCCGAGGCCCCATACCCCAATTCCATTAATTTCCTTTATATATGTAGTTTTGCCCCCCCAAGGAAAATTTCTGGCTCCACCCCTGAATGGCTGGGCAGGGTTGATCCTCTTATAGCTAGCTCTTTTGGGATAAATTAGAATTTCATTTGTAAATGACAATTTTTTTTTTAATAGGCAAGCAGGTTAGGGGTTAGTACCTTAGTGAGTGAAAGTTTTCGATGGAAAAAACTCACCAAATTGATAAAGAGTAATAAGATATTAAGATGGGTTAGTACACTAGTGGGTGAAGACAGTTTCCGACGAAAAACACACCAGATTGACAAGAAGTAATACTCAAGCCAGGGCAGTCGGATGGGTGAAGAAGCAGTATTGTGATTTGTGACTATCATCCCTGCCCCTAATGTTCATATGAATGGAGTGGTCTCGTGATTCCTTGAAGATCCCTTGGGCAATAAGTAGGCCTAACTGGATGGGTTTTTATCATCTGATGCTTAAGATTTCTTTGTACTATTTGTCACTTTTTATTTCTGTCCATTTAGAACAAATTGGGTTGTGCATTGGTATAG